CTTTTCACGTTTTGCGTACGGGTATTTTAGTTGAGTCCACTTGCATTTCGTATATTTTATTTTATGAGATTTATGTGGCATTTACTTGGTGATGTATTACATGTATAGATGGTGAAAAATTAAAGTAAAGGAAAAGGAAAAGTCAAAGGTTGGTGGTGGGACCCACCACCATTGTTTAAGTGGTCTGGAGACCACCTTTGCTCCTTCATTTTTCTATTTCACTCCCGTAACTTCTTCCTCTCTCTCATTTCTCTTCTTTTTTCTTTTCTTTTTGAGAAGCAAACTTTGAAGCTTGATTCCATTCTCATTTCTTGGTGATTTTGAGTGTCGTTTGAGGTGAAACGGAGAGCACGACGAGTTCTACGCGTGAGTACCAACAATTTCAGATTTGGTGCTTCCTTTGGATTCCGAAAATCTAAACCCATTTCGAGGGTTTTGCTCAAATTCGAGATAGGGACCCTTAATCCATGAAGTCTTGTGCTTTAGTGAGTTGATCTACTTGATTTGTATCTTAGAATGCTTAATTATGTTAATTACAGTTTAAATTAACTTGAGTGAGATATGTGAACATGTGAGAATGTGTGTTAAATAGGTTGTATGACAAGCATGCTTATATGTTGAGTTCCTATGCCTATTATGTTGTTAACATGCTATAAATGATGTATGAGAACATGCTTAATTGTGTTGTGAGAAATTTCTTAGTATCATTGTAATAAAAGTATGAGACACATATGCACATCATTGGGTTTGCATGGAAGGAATTGTTTTGAATTGAAAAAAAAAAGGGATTTTGGGGAAAAAGTTTGATTAAAGTGTTTTGTGAAAATCAGGTCGCCACGGGAGTATTAAAGGGCTGAAAGGTTAATATAGCCTAGAGGGAACTAGGGAGATTGCCTTAGCGTGGTTGAGCTAGTTGGGCCCCATAATGACGCCGCGAGGGTACCAAGGGTCAGGGACACTAGCCAATCCTTCTCTCGTGTCGCTGCGGGGTCACCAAAGGGCGGGTTATATTAACAGTTTACAAGTGATGGTTTTGATTATGAAAACGGGGAGCGACATCGGCATACATTGCATTCCCATTGCATTATGTTACTTATGTTGAGATTGATTATTATGTTGTGGTTTCCCTTTATGGTCTAATCCCCATTCTCATTGCTCTATTCTATGTTTGAATTCACGGGGACACAAGAAGCGTGTCTTAAGTGCTACCTATAATTATCATTTTTCAGGTTACGGAAAGGAACCGGCGGATGAAAATGCACCCCAATTATGATGGAGTGATCGAAGTTCACTATTTTGTTATTTTGTATTTTGGCCATTCTTTTGTATACTCAATGTTTTGGAAATGTAATCAGTGTTAACATTTATGGCCATATAATTTAAAAATAAAGCTTACCTTTTATTTGATGTATATGAAACTAATGGAATCACTGTATATGTATAAATTTCCATGAAAATGTACTAGGTGTCGTAGTACATTGGTTGTGTGATGATATTCTATTTCATGGCTGTAGAATGACCCATTTTAGATTGTTTTGTTCAAGTTCGGGCGTTTTAAAGTCCTTTACTCAGTTTTCTTTCATTTCTGTAAGTGCAGCATCTCAGTAATAGGTTTTAGGCTCGGAAGAGCCATTTCGGTCCACTGAAATGGCACATCGGTCGACCAAACCACCTACAGACTCTCGGCATCTCCCTTTTCGGTCAACTGAAATGGGGTTCGGTCGACCGAACTGTTTTCAGGCTCTCAGGATCTCCTGTTTTGGTCGACCGAAATGATGTTCGGTGGACCGAACTTCCCTCTCACTGTCGGGATCTCACTCTTGGCCTTCATGTCTTGAAAATGGCTTGTTTCGGTCGACCAAAGCTCCATTTCGATCTACCGAAATGCATTTGTTGGCCCACTTGGCTCTTCTTTCAATGTTCTTCCACTCTCGACTCTTGGGAATTTGTTTTGAGCCCTTATGAAACTTAATGATGATCCAATAGGTGATGTTTGACGCTAGAAATGATGAGTTTGACCAAGTGACCTCGGGTTCGAGTCAGGACCCAGTTAATGGTTCGGACCTCCGGGTTCAGGTCGTTACAGATGCACATTTTCATTATAAGGCACAAGTCCCTTTTATCCCAAAAATGCGCACTGGTCCTTACGTTATTGCCCAATTGCTCTACAAACCCCAAAAGTTTGTTCCACATCTTTCCTATAGGCCTTTTGTCTTTGAGCAAAAAGTTTATCTTTTGCTATAGTTGGGCGCAGGATGGTTTGCATCAAAGTTGCCCACTTGGGGTATATACCATCAGATAGGTAATACCCCATTGTATGGTAATGGCCATTCACAACGCAATTAACCAGAGAAATTTGGCCAATAACGATACTATCGAATACCGGAGAATGATTTAGCATATTAATATCATTGTGTGAACCCGGCATTCCAAAGAATGCATGTCAGATCCACAAATCTTTTGAGGCAACTGCCTCCAATATGAGTGTAAGCGTATGAGAACGTCCTTTGTGTGTGCCATACATGCCACGCCACCGGACAATTCTTCCACTTCCAGTGCATATAGTAGATAGAACCAAGCATACCCAGGAATCCTCTCTTATCCCCTTCTTGAAGTTATCGTGCTATATCGGCTTCGTTGGGTGGGCGCATGTACTTTTCCCCATAGAAACTAATAACAGCCTTACAAAATGTCAACAGGGTTTCAATGGTAGTGCTCTCGCCAATTTTAATATACTCGTCACAATGATCGGTGGCACAACCATATGCGAGTATACGTATTGCAGTTGTCATCTTTTGTATAGAAGATAACCCTAAACGACTTGTTGCATCCCTTTTTTGGACGAAGTAGTCGTCATAAGCTTTAACATCATTCAGGATACGAAAAAATATTTCTCGTTGCGTCTTGAATCGTTTGTGAAAGTATTTCGGTGGATATGTGCAATTCTAGTCAAAGTAGTCTTTCATTAGTTGACGGTGGCTTCCCTCTCGATCATAATGAATATACCACCTCTCAAGAGGTTTAAAAACTTGCTCAACTATCTCTGGGTTCACTGAATTCAAAATCTCACAAAAGACATCTTGATTACGTTGAATCATCGAATCAATAAGGTTATCTGATGAAAAGGACGATGAAGAAGAAAATGAATAAGATGAAGAATTAGAGACTGACAAAGAAAAAAATCGTGATGAGGAAGCTATTCTAATTTTGAGATTGAAAGAGATGTGAATTGATATTTTACTAAAATAAGTTGAGATGAATGTAATGATGATGAGATGATCAAATGGTTGTTTATATAACATGAAAAATATAGCCGTTAGGAAAAAAAGTTTAAAAATAAATTTTATTTTAAATATTAAAATATTAATATTTTTGGAGAGCGAAAATGCACCATTAGAGTATATGCGATAGCTAAAATTTGGAGACTTTAAAACGTTGACGTGACTATGAGAAATGCTGATGTGGCAAATTCGAAGAGCCTAATTTTATAGAGTCTATCGGAGATGCTCTCAGCTTTGTTTATAAGAGAACTCTAAGGCCATCTGCACCAGCCTCTCAGAATTTTGGCTCTCTAAAAATGCCACTTCAGCTTTTTCAAGAGTCACGTCAGCAGCTTTTGCTCTCCAGAAACATAGACTCCATCAGACTCTCCGATTTTTCAGTCTCCAAAAAAAAATAAAAAATAAAAAATAAAAATTAAATTAATTAATTATTTTTTTTTTTTTAACTTTTCCTAAACGACTATATGTGTCAGCCAAACAGTGCCTTAACGGCCAAATGTATTGTTTGTGGTAAACATTTAAAATTTAAAGCAAAAAAAATAAAAAATAAACAAATTTTAAGGGGAAAAAAAAAAGGTTTTTAATTTATTTTTGGCCTAAATAAATTTATTTTTGGACAAACAGTGCCTAAACAAATATATTTTTTATTTAATGAATTTTTTTTTTTTTTAAAAAAAAAGAGCTCAAAATAACCTATTTCTAGGTTTTTTTTTAAAAAAAAATTCTGCCAAACATTGCCTTAACATTGTTCAGGACCGGACGCCGTTTTGCAACTGAAAAAAAAAAATATATATATATATATATATATATATATATAACGTTCGCAGGCCGGGATTCCCAAAGTTATTAATAGAAAGCCGGCCGCGAGGAATCGAAGAATTGCAGGTGAATCTACAAAAAGAATTTAATTGTGTGAACAGAAAACTTAACATTGCTATCACAAGAATTGCAAAACCTTATGGAAACCCTAACATTCTTGCGGAATTTATAGCCGGCTAGCGATATTCCGCTAGCAAGCCCGCGAGGCAAACTTATGCCCCGTGAATTTAAGCTAGCCCGTTGCGCGGCGAAAGGGCCACTTGCTCACGGAAATGGGCCTTTAGTTAGCCCGCTGCAACTGCTCTAATGCCGGTGTAAAAGCTCTGTAAGCTCCCTTAAATGAATGCCAGTTTTAGCTATTGGTTGGAAGTAGTAGAATTAATAATACCCATGTCATGCTGGGAATTGGAGCTGCATATCTTTTTTAAACTCAGGGCCAAGAGATCTCCTACCATTTACAGTAGAAAACACGCAAGGGTCATTAGTGGGGACGATGATAGAAGCCTATACCTCACTCTCCATGTGCAAATCAATACAAACCCAGTAGCTTCTGACTGGTACACCAATCTCAATCAAATAATTCAAATTGTGGTCACATTGTAAGTTACAAACAAATCATTGCAAAACTTTGTCCAAATGTCAAATTTACAATTTACATTAATACATGCGGTGATTTGAGAGAGACTAATACATGCGGTGATTTGTGAGAGATTTCAAGTAGCCAGTAACTCAAAATGTTTTATTGAAATGCGGACACACTCCAGCCTTCAGAGTTCAGACATATCACTAATCAACGTTTCAATTAAAATAAAATACTTATGGTGCAAACTAATAACATGATATAAAGCTTCATAACCACGTAAAAATAAATAAATAAATCCTTGGTCACAAATGCGAACATGAACAAAATAAAGAGCTTGATAATGTTATTTCAATTGTATATACAATACTTGTATCCTAATTTCTAACAAAAATTGAATTACTTGGCTGAATTTACCTCATTCATTTCTCTTCAATTATACATGTTCTCTATCTGTCTTTGCCCCTTGAACCTCTTGAATACTCCATCAATGGCAACATCAAAAGCATCTCTAATACTCTCCAAACCCTCACTGGGCTTTGCATACACAAACTTGGGTATATACTCTATCACTCTCTCTCTCATCCTTCTCACCTCTTCTCTGCTGTACCTCTCTAGCACCCCCTTTATTGATGTCCCATTCCTCACATCATAATGGTCTATATAAACCGAATAACTCTCCGGTTCAACCGGCAAGAACCACTCGTACTGGTTGTAAGCCGTCCGGTTCCAGAAGAAAACCGGGATCGAACCGGCCACCATGCAATCGAACGTGGACCGCCGAGTGTAACTATCCCCTCTCGGCTGTAAACAGAAGTCGGAGCTCAAGAACGCTTCCAGACTCTCCGAGTACCCGATCGAGCACCGAGTCTCGGAACAACCCACGGCTCGGCACGAGTCAGACTCGTTCGCGCACTCACTCAGTAACAAACCTCGAAAGTCGTTCTTGATGTCGCCACGTGCCATTCCCACAAAGCAGTAGAGGCTTGTACGGTTACGATTGCGTACAAATTCCTGCCATTGTGATACGTCGTCGTCTGAACGAGGGTGGAATCCCGTGGGGTAAGGCACACCGACATCGAGGTATTCCGATGGGGCCCTCTCGATCGTGAAGCGCGTGACGTTGGTCATCGCCGGCATGTTGACGAAGCTTGACCCCCAGCCTAGTTCTGGGTTGTTCAATCGTCTGAAATCCCATATGATTCGACCCAGCGTGATGAAGTGATCCCAGCCGTTTGATCTCTTCCAGAAGGGTTGGTCCTGGACCCACCTCAGTAACATCTCGCAGTCCCGGTCACGCATAGTATGATTCTGGATCCACAAGTACTTCCCGACTGCAAGTCCAGCGTAGAACGGTATGTAGAACGCCGTAGCAGATTCCGGATCTAGTGTTCTACACTTGTGGCTCAACATCCGATTGTGAAATAAAATCTCCGACGAGAACTGGTTGGTCTTGTACCACGCCGGAGCCAGATTTTCCGGGAGAATCCCGGCGAGCTCGGTGGCTCTCCGGCCAAACCCATCGTTGGAAACCGCCTGGCAGCGCCAATTATATGGGTCTGAATCGTTGCAATTGTCCGTCAACTCTTTGTTAAACATTGCCGGGAGGTCGTATACATAGACTTCGCCGGAATTACAGTCTCCGGCGGCCGGAGCCGGTGAAATCTGCTGGAGGGATGGAGATAGTGGTAGACCACATGTGACGAAGACAATGACGATTTGGATGACGAAAACGGCCATGAAGAGCCAGAAGCAAGGGTGTAAGGCGACGTGAGCTCGAATTGAGTCGAACATGTTTTTGATTTCTAGGGTTTTGGGTTTGTTGAGGGTTTGAGGTTCAGTCGACAAGTGGCCGGAAATTGAAACCATCCCACCTAATTGTGGATGTTTTTGGTTTAGAGAGAGAGAAAGAGAGTAGAGGAGTGGCAGTGCTTCTAGGCGTGATTGATTGAGGATTCCAAACGTATTACATACTCTCAGAGATTTCAGGCAGTTATATTATGCTGAATTGACGGGTTTGACCCTATATGACCGACACAGAAACAAGATATGTGGGCAAGAAACGAAATAACTGGAAGGGTGGTGCTATCAACGCTGCCTAATTGTATAAACTTTTTATAATTATAATCTACTACTTTATTAAAGTTAATATTACAATAAGAACACTAGTGAGAAAAGAAAGATGTCGTCTTTGGCCTCAATTCACCGTTCCTCTGTTTGATGGCTGAAACTGACAAAATTGATATTATCTATGATTATTGAGCCCTTGATGGTCCAATTCATGCCCATGACTCTCTCTTTCTTTTTGGTTCCTCTGCATCTCTTTGTCCTGTTCAAAATGAACTATAGGCATCAGATGTTTTCTACGGCTCTCTAAAAAGGAATAATAGAGTTCGAGTGCTTGAGAGGTACTATTATTGTGAGTTTGTGTTTGCTCTCAGCTTTGGAGAAAAAAAAAAAAAAAAAAATCAAATTAAGGTCCAAACGAATATGATGACTTCATTTCAGTAGCTATCTCAGACCAATGCTGAAGTTTCTTTGAGTTTCTCTTCGTAAAATAATACAGGTACTAGCTAGCTTTGAGAATAGGGATGTTTGATGGAACAAATTACAACTGATAAGTGCTGTAAAAGTATAGTGTTCACTCATATATGTGTCATACACACATAAATAACCCATATGAATATGAATAGGATACGATGCTGATACTTGGATATCTCAAATTTTAAAAAATAAGATACGAATATGGTTTGAAAACGGTTATATATAAATTAATATGAACTTTTATTTATATTCATGGATTGAGTAATAATATTATAAAATTTTAATTCATTTCTAATTTTATGTTAAAAGTTGTAATGACTTTTATATTGTATACATTGTTATTACACTATTTTGTCATAATAGTGTTTGTATTTTAAATAGACATATTATTTAATGCCTTCGCTTGTGATCATATGTGTATACTGTCAATTTTTATTAAAGGAAAAAATTGAACACTTTAGAATGTGTTCATATTATTTTTAAAATTATTGAGTAGGTTTGTGTTAGAAATGTTTGATCGTGTCAACCTAAGTATCCAAGAAATGTGGTGAAATGTCAAAAAAGTGTCTAAAATAATAAAAATTTATTTTTATTTACGTATATGAGTGTCCGACTATAGACACGATTCTTTCATAAAAGCATTCGTGCTTCATAGTACGCAACTGATAAGAGGAGAGAGAATAAAGGGATAACAGAGAAAAACGAGAATAGAGAGAAATAGAAATAGAAAATATTAATATTAATAATATTAGAGAGATGAAAATAAGAATAAAGAGAGATAGAAATAGAAAATATTAATATTAGAATACCTACACTTTTAGTAATATTATTACTATTATAATTGTTGAATAGCAAAAAAATAATAAAAAAAATTGTTTTTACTTTAACTTTTTGATTTCAAGCATTACAATTTTTTTTTTTTTCCTTTTTTATGACAAAAAAATGAGAAAAAAAAAAAAAAAAAAAACTTTGTTTGAGCAGGTTAAGATGAGTACCCACTCTTCACTCACCATTGAATTGAATGAAAACTCACTTTTTATCCATTATTGTCTCACTCACTTAAATTTGAATACCCAAATAATTAAATTTTAGTGAATGGACTTGGGTGATTTAATCAATTTGGACTTAAATTACCTCCCCTATATTAAACTTCGATTTTGTATATATATTGTCGTATGTAACATTATTGAAGTGTGAATAAAACTTGTACTTATAAACTATGAACAATCATGTGAATAAAAACTTTTAAAGGCCATAACGTTTATACCACTAGGTCTATCAGTTGTGACAATCATTTCCAAAATCAACACTAATTAAAGTACAAGAAGTAATTAGTTCCAAATAATGAAAATATACCCTTTACACTATACTGGTTAAATTTTGTAACATGCATGATTAATAATGGCTTTATTTGAGAGCAATTTTCATTTTGCACCGAGAAATCATGTGTATTCATTCATTACAACCACAATAATATAGTATGTGACTTGTCAAAATGCATCCAATAATCATTAAAGAAGCTCACATGACTACGTAAATATGCAAACATATTGACCAAAAAGAGTCACAGCCATCATCACTTATTGACCACGTACCAATAAAAATATTGACTTTTAAAAAGACACTGCAGATCAAAAAGAGACACAGCCATTATCACATAAGGACCTACTTTTATGTGTCATTTTCTCAATAACACGACTCCATACTCCATATTTCAGTAGACAAGTAAATAAGTACCCCCTTTTTTGTTTTTTTTTTTTCGATTGACGGAAAGGAAAGAAATATTATTAGACAAACAGAGGGCAGCGTAACAACATTAACAGTTGTGAACCAAATCAACGAAGATGATCATTCCCGCCACCGACGCATTTGGAGATGGTACTATTCATTTGTGAATCAACCCCAAAGACCCATGACACATGGGGTCGATCTACTGCTTCGATTTAGGTTCCAACAGGCAACATAATAAATGAATGATAAATGTTAGTTTCTTAAAATGATTAACTTATTATATATATATATATATATATATATTATTTATATCAAAACATGAAATAGCTCTTCTTTTTCCAGACTCAAAAAAAGAGCAATTACAAGATTACTAGGGGCATACGGATACCCCAAGGCCAATAAGGCCCAAAGGGCAACAACAACAACAACAAAAGAAATATATGGGTTAAAGTCTATTCTAAAAAGAAAGGATAACAAAGTGGTTAAGAATCGAAAAGCAGAGGTCAGTCTATTCTAAAAAGAAAGCATAACAGAGTGGTTAAGAATCGAAAAGCAGAGGTCATTAATGTAATTCACTACAAATTTGGGATCTCCAAAGCATATCAAAGTGGATTTAGAGTCAAAAAGCAAAGGTCATTCACCTACCCAAAAATATGTTTCTCAACAAATTTGGGATCTTGAAATAGGGGTCAATTAATAGATTGTGTGCATAATAAAATTTTGTGCTAAAAATAAAAAAATAAAAAATAGTTTCTTGGTGGGTTCTATGATTATCTGGTAGAGCCAATCAGCCTAAAATGAAAAGAAGAAAAAAAAGGGCATAAAAAAGTTGTAATTTGACTGCAGTGTTCCCCAGAAAATGCGGTAAAAGAATCCCATGGTGCATATATTCAAGAAATACCTTCTATCCGAGTAACATGTATCATCATCTCATCGTGGTAAGTGCTACAAAGAAAATATATTTTTATTTTTAGAGAGTTAAAAATTGTACAAAAATTTTGCTTAGTTTAATATTTTTTTAAAAAAAAACTTAAAATATTTATTTTAAGAACTGTCTTTTATAATTGTTAAAAAATATATTTTTTTGATTTTTAAATTGTTGAGAACTATTTAAACCAAACAAGCTCAAATACTCTTCTATTATGTTTTGGCCCCTTAAAAGTAAAATTAAAATATTGATTTCAAACACAACGGTCGCCTTGGGCCGGTCGCCTTCCGCCTTGGTTGCCTTGGGCCTCAAATTTTAGAAGGCCTCAAAATTTGAGGCCCATAGAGGATGGACAAAAAAAAAAAAAATTAAAGTTAGGACAAGTCTTGGTCGGCTTGGGTTTCAAATTTTGAGGCCCATAGGGGATGGCAAAAAAAAAAAAAACGGAGTATTAAGTTAGGGCAAGTTTCAGACGACACAATCTGCTTCCACACTCCGCAGGACGCAGCCTCCGCTATCGCCTCAGGTGACAAGGTATGTTCATCCTCTCTCTCTCTCCTCTCTCCTTTTGCATGAATCGATCTTTTATATATGTTTCTTTCTTTCGTTCATCTCATCATTTGATTTGTTCTAAGTTTGGACCTTTGGTTCGTTTGATCCGGGCCTTTACCTTTGTTCCCATACTGAAAAGTAGCTTCCAAACTAGGGTTTTTTGTGTGTGTGTGTCACTGTGTGTGATGGCTATCAAGAGCTGAATGAATATATTATAGTTCTCTTAGTATTTTAATAAATGTGTGCCTTTCTACATGCGTCTTTCATGGCGATCGAGTCCATAATCTATGGCAGGCACTTTTTTTTTTTCCTCTCCCTAATTCCACTCCAATCTCACAACAGCAGCAATCATACCCCTTTTCCTCATAAGTTTTTGCATTTTCACATTCAATCCTACGAAAATTAAGGATCCCTTCTTGGTTGAGCCGTTGAGGTAATAATTAACTTTTTCGGTTTCTAAATTATGCTCATAATTAAAAGTGCCAAATTAAGGGTTTTATTTATTTATTTATTATTATTTTATTATTTTATATATATATATATTTTTTATATGAAGATACATACCACCATTATTGATGTTATTTGAAGTTGGCTCAGCTAGAATTTCAGTTAATAATACTGTCAAAGCACTTGCCATCAGCATGTACAAACACATGGAAATCAAGAGCAGGCTTTAACAAAACAAAAGTTAATGGTTTTTTCTATTAATTTGCACAGGTCTTCTGTAGCAATGATCAATCAATCATTGCTACTAAAGTTGATTCCTCATCCTGAAATCAAGAAAGGGGTAATTGGCTCCCAAAAAACACACACAAAGTGTAGTTAATATAAAGAGTGAAAGACAAAACTATACATGATAGTGGATGCCACATATAACCTAAAAGTCCCACTACTTCTTCAGCACTACAAGTTCAGCCTCCTATATATATATATAGTCACCTCATCCCCACATATTTTTGTCATCCGTAATCATCAAATTTTAGGAGCTATATAAACAATGAATTTAAAAAAGTAGCTGCAGTTTTCTGTTCCTCATTTCCACTTTTGGACTGTATTTTGGATACTCTGTTTTGTCTTCTCTCCTCTCCTCCAGATTCCAGTGCAAACTCCAGCCAGGAGATCATTCGACCAAACTGCTTGATTTTAGATTTTTTTTTTTTTAATTATATTTATTGTATGATCGGCAATGCTTAGTTATTGTTGTTTGATTCTCCATCCGTTTTATGTTAATTGAGATCTTCTTTCACATGCTAGCAGGACACTCTTCTTAGGATCTCGTGAGGTTATTTGCCTTGAACTTGAATCAAATCATTGCGTATTGAGGTAATATATATGTTCTAAAAACAAAGCAAATTATTATCATTATTTTTTTGAAGTCTAGTTTCATGTTGATTATGGTTCCTGTGATTTAGATTTCAAGGGATTTCATTATGTCTACA